TTGCTCTCTGTCACTCATTCAAACGGAACATAATAAAAGAACAGGGCATTTCAAGGGTCAATGTAGCATTTTCTCAAGGTGCAGAAAAGAAAAACAAAACCAAAACAAACAAATCAAAATAATTTCTTGCTTGCTTTGCTGTTTTTGTTGTTTGACGGCATACCAAAAAAAAAATAAAAATAAAAATAAGTAAATGAAATAAAAATTAGGAACAAAGGAATGTTTTGTCTACGGTCGCATGAGAGACTTTTGTAATGTTATTATAAACTACAAATACAAAGAATTTCTTGGATTGGCTTATTTGATTGCTTGCATACATTTTCCTTGGGATGAAAAATTGTTAATAGTTTGAATCCCAGGCAAAAGGGAGATTAATTGGGTCTATTTGCACAGAAAAAGTTGTTTTTCTTTTTTCCCTTTCACTGTCATTTTGCTCTTTTGTTTTATTGTCATAGCATTTCAATGTAGCATTAATTAGTATCAGAACCATTGCCATCCGCTTTGGTATTTATTATTTTTGCTTTTAGTGTAGTGAGACTTTTAAAATCTTGTTACCATATAGATGTGACTGACTGGAACTTGTCTTTTGCCTGCTAAATTTTGCATGAAGATGTGCATGTTACTTTAAGATAACTGTGAAACGTGATTACACAAATCATTGACTTTGTTATTTGACATATAATTCATAATGGGATGGAATGGTGTCATGACTTCTAAAGGGATCGGTTCTGCCCTGAGAAAGAGATAAACTAATATTTTAAAGGTTATATTTAACAATGGATACCATGGAATTAGCCAATAAAAATCAACTTACTAACTAGATCAAAGACCTGAAGCAATCAATGAACCTCTAAAAAGTGAGAAATGTAATCTATGCCCACCTTTGAATTAGGCCTAGTTCTCCCGGAATCAATTGGAAAGTTATTGGGGCATGTGTGTTTCTTGTAAATTTAATCTAGAAACCTATTTCAAGAAAGCCCCTCATCAGAGGTTTGACTTTTGTGTTTTATATAATTTGACCTTTTAACTTTTATTGTAATAAGGTCTCTCAAAGTTTTCCAAAAGTGTGGGAAGATTAAATTTTCATTTTTAAATGAGTTTACTTTTATAGAATTTCAGTCTGTCTTTCCTGCCTATGATTTTATTCATCTTCAGCATGTATGTTATTAAATTAGGGTTTGAACATATTTTCAAGATTTCTTAGATTTTGTAAAGCTATATAACTTCAGAATTGTGTCAAAAGACTGTAAGAATTTGAAGTAATTTGACTTTGAAAAAACGAGATAATAAAATTCGGTTATTGGCATACTGTAGTAAGCCTTTTTTGATCAATGTTTTGAATGCAAACTGGTTTGTGTAATCATAGTACTATGGCAATCTGGAATTTAGAGAGATTGTATAATAAGGGGACACTTGTCATAAAAGAACATTAATTTTCTTTGTTTTTTGATGCAATGTCAGCACCCTGTGACATGGCAGCCATCTAAAGATGGAGATCGCTTAATTGGTCGTATTTTATTAAATAAGCGTCTGAAAGATGGAAGTGTGCCTCGAGATTCAGGAGCAATGCTTGGCTTGAAGGTATGTGATGAAATATGTAAGGTTTAGACTCTATATTACTTTACAGATTTATCAGAGAAGCAAAAGATATACTAACTCTTTCTACCTATACCAAGTTTTCTTTCTATTTTCAAGAATTCACAAATATTTCCCCTCAATATCCATTTCTTATTTTTCAAGTTTTATTTTAGAAGTTTCCATTATTCTACAATAATACTCATATGTATAATTTAAAAAATTATAATGAGTTATATACTTGAATCCTAAATACAGTGCAAAAACTTATTTTACCTGTGCGGTTTGTCCTTTATGTCTATATTTGTGTTTATATTTTATTTATCTATTTATAAATATATTTTTATTGATTTCAGAGAGGAAGGGAGAGGGAGAAATAGAAACATCAATGATGAGAGAGAATCCTTGATCAGCGGCCTCCTCACACCCGCTACTGGGGATTGAGCCTGCAACCCAGGCATGTGCCCATGACTGGGAATCGAACCATGACCTCCTGGTTCATAGGTCGAAGCTCAACCACTGAGCCACACCTGCCGGGCTATATCTATTTAAGTGATAGTTTTATTCAATGATAAATGTGCAAACTTGAGAAATGTAATACATGCATTACTTAGGAATATAATTTTTGTATTAGTGTAGCAAAATATGTGTCTGTATGTATGTGTGTGTATCTGTGAGAGAATACTGTCTGAAGTCTGGAAGCTCGAAAATACTTACTTAGGAGATTTCATATAAATACTAATTTATATTACACCAAATACAGTTCTATTGTTTTTTGTGTATGTGTTTTTGTATGGTGAATTAAAAACTGAAGTAAAAAAAGAGTAAATGTTTTAGAGTTAGCCATTGCTACATAGAACATAGAACATAGAACATAGTGAGAAATATTAGAAAACTTTGGGTGTAAGTGGAATTGGGCAACTAACATTTATTGGGTGGCTGCCAACTCATTTGAGCACTTTACATCTATCATTTTGTTTAATGCTCACAACAGATAAAAAATAAGCTTAGAGAATTGTCATAACTTGCCCATGGTCACAAGATGGAGATGAAGGTGGGATTTAGATCCAGGTCTGCCCAGTATCATGTCAGAGCAGTGTAGTGTGATGGTTAGGAAGTCTTGGCTTGATTTCTAGTTACAGCAATGACTGGGTACCTGACATTGGTCTTAGCTTCAGACTCCTCATCTGTACAATGGAGATAATAATGCTTACTGAATTGTTACAGTGAGATTAAATATAGCAATATATAAACATTTAGTAGAGTGTCTGACATGCTATAAGATAATAATATAGTCAGTAAAATTATTACTATTAAAATTTGTCAATTCAAAAATAAAAATATTTTTAAAAAATTAACATAGGGATGTAAATCCAAAATATCTATATATTTAATTTGCAGAATCAAATAAAGGAATACTTAGTATTAACTGTACTGCAATTGAGTTTAATTCATTGCAATCTGGGAATAAATACATGGAATAAGACAAATGAATGGTATTTTAATTCAGATATCTTTCACTCAATTTAGAAGAGGATAAAAACTATTTTAGTCAACGAAGGTAGTTACTATTGTTTGCTTGGCTTGCTATAAAGTTGATATATTGATTGAATTGCAGTTAATGAGAATCAAAGCATTACTTTTGTAAGAGGCTACTCTTGAAGGTACATCTATGACTCCACAGCATTATTGGAAATATTTATATATATTTTCTGAAACATATAGGAGTGGGCAAAAGTAAGTTTACAGTTGTGAGTACAAGAAGCACAATTTATTCTTGTATTATTATTTATCATATTTTTCCATGCGAACAACTGTAAACCTACTTTTGCCTCACCCTATTAATAGAAACATAAAAATAGAAAAAAATGGGATGCCAATGGTCAACAGTTCACATTAATTCTGATGAGATTAAGTAAGTGTAATAATTTTCTCAGGAAAAATATATCATCATCATGCACATTATTAATGTGCCTAAAAAGTTACTAATGAAATTTAGGCAGGCTATCATAATTATAGTAAAACTAACAAGTATTTATATTATTGTGATATTTGAAATCTGAAACAAGATATATGAATTACATGGCACTGAAATAACATATTTTTAGAAGTGACAAAAGTTAAGAATTCTGTAATAAAGAAAGAAATTACAAATTGTTGTTTTTAAGGTATGCAACATTTTCAACAAATAATGGATTAAGTTCTAAAATATTTGGAATATGTAAAAAGCTTACTCTTGGGATATGTGCTCAGTTCTTAGTAACAACACTATGTTACTTAAAAAATACTTGAAGTATAGTAAATTATAGTTTTAAAAGCTGCAAATTGTCTCCCTGGCCTGTTGGCTCAGTTGGTTGAGTGTGCATCAAAGGGCTGCCGGTTTGATTCCAGGTAAGGGCACATGCCTGGGTTGCGGGTTTGATCCCAGGTTGGGATGCATGCAGGAGACAACCAATCCATGTTTCTCTCTCACATTGATGTTTCTCTCTCTTCCTCTCCTTTCCTTTCTCTCCCTCTAAAATCAATAAAAACATATATTTTTTTTAAAGTTTCAAATTGTCTAATTATTTTTTACTTTAATATTCAATCATGTTCATTGGAACGAAGTATCTCCTACTCCTTTTCTTTATTAAACAGGTTGTAGGAGGAAAGATGACTGAATCAGGTCGGCTCTGTGCATTTATTACCAAAGTGAAAAAAGGAAGTTTAGCTGATACTGTAGGACATCTTAGACCAGGTAGGTTTCTATCTTTGATTGTTCACATTTTAACTGTTATAATTGAGTAGTTATGAAAAGTTACCCTCAAATAGAAGTGATTTGACTAGTAATAAAGTGCTCATTTAACTTAAATAAATTTATTCATTAATGGGAAGTAATATTATTTCTTGAACCACATTAGATAAAAGGATTTATTTATTTATTTTTTGATTATTTATTTATTTAATTATTTTGCTTATGGATATTCCTACTCTGTATCTAGTATTCATCTATTTTGTTTCCCATACGCTTTAACTTTTTTTTAAAATTCCAACATAGTTTAGGAAAAAAACTTCATAGATAAATGTCTATTTCCTAAAGCGTGTTACTCCTTATCTCTAATGGATAGGAGAGATCCTGGAGTGCCTTGGAGAGGATTCAGTAAGATACTAAATGTTAAGCTTTCTACAAGAGAATTTAGACAGAGTGCTCAGCCAACTTAGAATGCAGACTCATGAAACCTATAAAGTGGAGACTGATCTTGATAGTTTCTAGGATTAGAATTTCGATTGGAATTAACATTTCTATGTCACCAAGATGGTGAAATAGTTCACTCGTGCCTTTGCTCCCCTTCACAAGAAGAACTAACAGCTATTCATGGACAAGACATCACTGAGAAAATCCTGGAGATCACAGAGATCATTGTTATGTAGTTTTTTTCCCCCTGACCCTTGGCCTTTTGGGTGAAATCTACCAATCATCCTTGTCATCAAATTTTATGCCACTGGAGCTGTTCTCAGTATGTTTCGTATTTCATAATGGTCGTTTTACTCTGTGGAGGTTATTGCAGCGTAAGATTGCTTTGTTTTGAGTGCATATGGGATTAGATTTTCTTTCTAAGGTGATCATTACTGATATACGCCATAGGTGATGAAGTGTTAGAATGGAACGGAAGGCTGTTGCAAGGAGCCACATTTGAAGAAGTCTATAACATCATTCTGGAATCCAAACCTGAACCACAAGTGGAGCTTGTTGTTTCAAGGCCTATTGGGTGAGTGGGTCTGAGCACTTTTCATATGTATAGAGTTGACTACATTAAACCATTTATGAAGCGCAATCCAAAAATGTCTGATTGCTTTATCAAAATACATTACTTTGAGGACATTTCTTTTACTAAAAACACCTCACCAAAAATCGTGACATCTCTGTAAAGTTAATTACAAAAGAAGAAATATTTATCTTTTTATTGTTTTTATTATTTTAGTAACTTAGTAGATAGTTGATGGCATTAATAGAAGGGGACTGAAGTAACAATTACTTTTAAAGGAAGTTTCATGAACTATGGTCCTTTATATTGCAAAAATGAGGATAAACTATATTCCATGATTTTTATTATTTTTTCCAAAATGGAGATTTCAACAAAGAAAGATAAAAATAAAAGCAAATGCCAAATACTCATTTGTTTTTATAACTTGTTACCTATATTAAATCAACAACTTTCAGAAGTTGGCAATAAATATAGTCCTTTGCATCTATGTTATGAGAATTGCTCATTATCACAGTAGTCTTTCCTTTATAGAAGCTTATATTCTAAGCCAATGTAAAAGATATACCTATAATTAGAAAAAGCAATTAAATATTATAAACTGACAGGGAATTATTAAATTTATGTTCATGGAAAAGCTTTCTAGGGTAGAGGCTATAGAAATTATTTCTTGCTATAGGATATAATGCCTAGCTTCCATTCATTTAGGAAAAGATTGGACTATATTATTTTGTTATCTTTTTATCCTGTAGAAAATGACTTATGTTGGTAACTTAGTTTTTGAAATGTTCCTTTCAAAAGTAATGAATCTGGCACATGAAATTGTATCTGTTTTTCATTTTGTCTTTTCAAAGTTTTTTATTATGTTAAAACTGTACTGTATCAACCTAGTATATTAATCAAATGTATTTCTTCATATTAAAAGATACTCTAAACATTTTTGTTTAATGTTTTAAATATTCTTTTATGTAATTTTCTGAATGATCTTAACCATTAATATCTACCCCTTTTGGCAAATCTCAAGGAAAATGTACATTTTTTGTGTGTAAATGCAGTTACGTAGTAATTTTGTAAGTCCCAGTAAGGAACATGTTTACATTTTTCTCAGTGGAGTTATTACATTTAAAAAGTTTCCATCAGAATCTGAATAAATAATTTGGTGATACTTTACTTGCATTTTAATATTATTGATTTAGAACAGCGGCAAGTAAAAATAAAGAATGGAATAGACTTACAATGTATCTATAAAACTTGTTGAATGCAGACATTTTTTAGAATGGGCAATTGTTTAGTGAGGCATATAGAAAATAAAGTATATGTTTCTATACATCTGCTATAAATGGGTATGAATTTTAATATTTTTTAATTAATGGTCTTAACCAAGAATATAGGTTGATAATGATGAAAACAGTAGTTGCATTAATTGTTGCAACAATTTCTTGTTTTCCTTTTCTATCATTTCAGAGATATACCTAGAATACCTGATAGCACACATGCACAGCTGGAGTCCAGTAAGTTTCATGTGTTCTAGAAGAGAATGTTGTTAATAATGTCATTCATCAGGAGAAAATGAAGTATCCCATTCGCCCCATTTTTACTCACTCTCCAATTTGTTCCTTCCCCTCCATTCAAATAATTCATGCATATCACTTCTGAGTACTAAACTTCACTTATGCTCCAGTAAACCTTCTAAACACTTTGGATCATTGTGGCTAGGAAAGTGGAATGACATTCTGTGGACATTAAAAATAAATTGAAGAGCTAGATGGTGAAGATGATTAAATACCAGTGAAGAGCCATTGCTGTTATTCTTTATGTGTGATTGCCATTTCAGGTTCTAGCTCATTTGAATCTCAAAAAATGGATCGTCCTTCTATTTCCGTTACCTCTCCCATGAGTCCTGGCATGTTGCGAGATGTTCCACAGTTTTTATCTGGACAACTTTCAGTACGTAATCACTAAATTAATTTCTCTTTTTGGAATATCAAGTAGTGTTTTTATTATATGTTGCTAGTTTTTGGTAAACCAAGTTCTTCTTAGAATATAATTGTGCCTTTAACCATCAACACTCTCATTCTTAGTAATTAATTGAAATTAAAATTTAATTATTTACCATAGTGCTTTATTAGAGTTAGGTTTCCTGTAATGTAATGAGCTTAAGAATTTGTGAAGACATCTACAATGTTTTTTACTTTAGTAATATTCCAAAATTCAAGGTTATGATTTTTGCTCAATATCCTAAAATGACTATAAAGTGTCATGAACTTTTAAGGGAAATAAAAATTCTGCACTATACAAAGATGGTGTATGTAAGATAAAAGTAAATATTTATGTACTTTTCCTGCTTTTCAACCTTAAGGAAATTTTGAGTGGGGTAAGAATATTGCTCTGAAATATAATGATACTTGAGATGCTTTTGTCAACAGACAAAATTAAGTATATGAGTAAATATATAATTGACTACTGAGTACACCAGATGATTTTATATTAAATGATCCCTAATTCGAACATTTTATAATGAAAGTTAAAAGCTCAATTATGTGTTTTATGTCTATATTAGAAGAGCTTTGCAAATGTAAGCCCTCACTTTTTTTGTTAACTTCTTCAGTTTTATTTCCCTTTTTAAACCATTTTAAAATGTTAAAATATTAAAATTTATCCATCCATATTTTAGAAAAATAAAGTTAGTATTGACAATAATGTCACTAAGTTATTAAACTTGAAACTTTACGGATATTAAGAACTATTTAGAAACTCAAAATTCAGACACTGAGTTTTGTATAAAAATTATCCTTAAAAACTAAACTATTCTTGGACTAATATTTTAAGAGCAAAAGGAAAAATCTTTACTAAATAAGCTACAAAACTTCTTTTATATTTTTAGGAGAGGTTTGATTTTTACTAAATTTTCATTAATTTAAAGGGGATATAGAAAGTATAAGCACACTTAGTATATTAAAGTTGATTGAACAAGTCATTAGACATGTCTGTTCTGGAGGTATTTTGGTCAAAAAGGTGACAATTAAAAAGTTATGCAAGGAAAAAATTGAGCTACTGTTAGGAGATTGTAAATGTCTTACTAAAGTAAATTTCTTCTCTTTATTCTTTTTCTTTCTCTTTCATAAGCAGAGTGACTTTTCATTTGAGGACAATGGTCTTTTTTATTTTTCCACAATAAGTAGAATCTTTCTCCTTATTCTCTTACATATATTGTCAGTACGAATGTTGTTATTTATGGTTACAAATATATATATGTCTTTTTTCCCACCATTTTAGGAAGTGGTAATAAATGTTAGCTGTTTTTCTTTTTTTATGGCTGTATTTAAATAGTTCATCTTTAAGTAATGTTTTGGGTAGCTGTATGATGCCAGTATATAAACAAGTGTGTGTGTGTGTGTGTGTGTGTGTGTGTGTGCAGTTGGCTTCAGTTGGTGGAAGAGGAAGGAGTGGAAGATATACGTCCATGATAAGTACCACTTTGTTATCTTATTTAAATTCCCAAGGCCCTCTTACAAATTAGACTAGGAAAAATTTAGACAAATTTCAGATTCTTCGATTTTTCCTCATGGTTCAAAATGAATACAGTAAAAAGGTAAACTGTTAAATATTTAGGGGAAATATAAACATAAAAGTTTTACTTATAAATATTTATAATGTTATAAAGTTATAGTACTTAAATTCATAAATGATGCTGGTTTAAAATCCATGTAATTGTTATTTTAAATACATACCATTTTATCATTTTCTTATGAGTTAGAAGAAGTATGTTTCAATAAGATAATCTTTACAAATATAATATTTGTTGTGGTAAATCTAGAAAGTATAGATAAATAAGTAAATAACAATAAAAATCACTTATAGTCCTGCCACTAAAAGATAACTATTCATATAATTATAATTTTTTAAACAAAACTACCAAATTCATGTATACTATTTGGAAACCTTCTTTTTCATTTACTAATATTGTGCAGTTTTTCCTTAAACTTAAAAAAATTTGCTTAAAATGATTTTAATACCTATTTATCACTCCTTTTTTAACTTAATTTGTTATAATGGGATATTTTGTTTCTCATTTATGTTATTATAAATAACGATGCCATGGAAATCCTTTAATATAAGTCTTGCATATTTTGTTAGGACAAAATATTTTGTTGCGATAACTTTCCAGAATTAAAATGGAAATATGAAAGGAAAAGAAAATTTTAAGGTTCTTGAGATCTACTGCCCAAATTTCCCCCAAAAATATTTTGGCAAATCATCTCCAATTATCTACTTAAGAAATATATGTTAAGGTCTGATTCCAGTTCAGCCATAATACTAGTAGCTCGGATTACAACAGTGAACAAGATAAACATGAATTTTACCCTCATGAAACTTAATTTTATACTTATTCTTTGCAGGCAGGAATATATGAGCATTATACCCTTTGGATATAGTCTTTCCCTTTATATTTAATCCTATTTCTGCCAACTGGAGGCAATTTTGGTATGCTGTAATGATGTAGAGGTTGGAAAATGTGTGTCCACGTATATCACCCTTTGGTAACACCCCTAGAAAGTCACAAGGCAGCATCACAATTTCTGTATCCTGGCATCTTATCTTTGGGCATTATTGCTTTTGGTGAGAGTTTACCAGGCCCATAACTCATTTACAAAATCATGACATTGCTAATGCCTGAGGAAAAAGATAATTTGCCTAATATGTGAGCCGTCCTTCCTAATATATTCGTGTCAGTTCAAGGACTGATATATCCTCAAGTATAAAATATACATACAATGCAAATGGTTGTTTAAACTTTCATGCTCAAGGTTGTTGATGATTCTTAAAATATTATGCAGTGTATTTCCTCTCCATGCTCGAATTGTGCTGCTGCTTGTGGTTATTCGAGGGCAGTGATGGTGAGCCTTTTGAGCTCGGCGTGTCAGCATTTTGAAAAACCCTAACTTAACTCTGGTGCCGTTGTCACATATAGAAATTTTTTTGATATTTGCAACCATAGTAAAACAAAGATTTATATTTTTGATATTTATTTTATATATTTAAATGCCATTTAACAAAGAAAAATCAACCAAAAAAAATGAGTTCGCGTGTCATAGGTTCGCCATCACTGTTCTAGGGCATGGGTAGGAAAGTGCCATTAATGTACGTGGTGAGACAATCAGTGTGAGTTCATGTTCATGACACCTGGACTATATGTTAGCCTTTTCACTGTCAGCACTCCCATGTGAATTTAAAAAAAAAAGTGTTCTTCCATATTGAGCAGTTTCCTTCTTCAGAGAATTACTTTTATAATCTCTCAATATTTTTAAATTAATTTGCAGTTTTGGGCTACTTTTGATAATTAAGATAAAAATATAGCTCTCCTGTCTTTTAAAAGTGAGAAATGGCTCAGAATTCTCGTTTACTATAGGAATACACTGACTTTTTTTTTGACAATCTTATTTTACATTAGGGCCTGTGGTTGTTTTATGGTTGCAATGTTTCCCTGAGTTACTTTGTTTTAATATTTTTCTGACTCCATTTTTAGTGATGAGTTTGTAAATGCTGTACCTATCCATTACATATGCCCCTTTTTAAAGAGAATAAGTAGCTGAACAATAGAGATACATCTTTTATATCTCCTTAGAAACTCTAGACTTTTTAAAACTTTCTGCAAACTAAAGTTTTTTTCTTTGAGCGTTTATCTTTCATCCCTATTGTCACAGTCTTGTTATTCCAGAAGCATTGCTTAAAAGGAGTGTCCTAAATATAGCAGTACAGTATATAGTAGAAAGTGACATTAAAAGTGCAAAATAAATCGTGGTGTACAAAATCATATTCTTTATTTGGATGAGGCTGAATTGTTACAGATATCAGGTATTTCATGTGTGAAATAAATGAAGTAATGTTAATTACAAGTTGCAGTGAAATACATAATACTTCAATGTAAAATACCCAGAATCCATAGAGGAAGAAGCGGCTTAGTGGTTGCCAGGAATTAGGATGATGGGGGCACAGGGAGTGGTTACTTAACAGATAAACGATAGCTTATGGGGCGATGAAAAAGCTTTGAAAGGAGAGGGAGGTGGTGGTTGCACAGCATCGTGAATGCACTAAATGCCTCTGGGTTGCACACTTTAAAATGCTTCGTCGAATTTGGGTTTCAACTCACTTAAAAAAACTAATAAATCAAAATATGTTTTTATAGCCAAGTTTAAAGTGTGAACTTATGGGTGAAGATTATTTAAATTGCCATAGAATTTAGACAGTTGATTTCGGAATTCCATGAGTTGCCCTTATGAGATCATTTTAGAAGGTTGACAATGATTGCCTTAAAGATTAGTTTACTTTAAAGTACTGTTTCTTTTAAAGTAATGTTTTAGTTTATGAAGTAATATTTACTTCCATTACCTTGATATTTTTGGTGTAAAACAGGTAGAACAGGTGAGAGGGCAAGGAAAATAAAATCTACAAATAAAGTACCTTGTTAGTGCTTTTCTTTTTTCTTTATCTAAATCCTCACAGAGGATATTTTTACATTAATGTTTAAAGAGAGTGGAAGGAAGAAGGAGAGACACAGAGAGGGAAACATCGATGTGAGAGAGACACATCGATTGGTTGCCTCTTGCAAGCGCCCCTCTTGGGGCCAGGGATCAAGCATGCAACTGAGGTACGTGCCCTTGGCCAGAATTGAACCTGGGACCCTTCAGTCCTCTGGCCAACACTCTGTCCACTGAGCCAAACCAGGTCGGGCATTAGTTCTTTACTTTGGTGTACCTACTTAATCCATATGCATTTCATACATCCCTTCCCCATCCGAGTTGTGCAGACAAGGGTCAGTAACACACTCCGTATCAAAACATTTCTTTCTTCCTTTGGATGGGTTTCCACACAAAAAGGAAGACAGCTGAGATTTGGGACTCCTTAGTTTTTGGAGAGAGAATGAGGATCACTCATGATTGAATGATAGTCTATTTTTAAGGTCTTCTTTCCTCTAGGTCTTAGATTTATGTCTTACAAAGTGTAAGTCTGATGATAGGTAAATTGGGCACCAGTCCTCCTAGTCCCTATTAACTGCTTCCATCTAGCAGGGGAATTAGACAAGAGAGACATCCATGAGAAATGTAAGGAATGGAATGGAATTTTGGCGAAAGAAGCAAAATTAAATGCCTTGAAATCCATTCCCAAACCCAGAGATACGCATCTGATTTTGTTCCTGATTTAACTGTCGGCATGCCTTAATAAAGGCACACAATTCTGATTGTTGTGGTGTTTTTGTTGGAAACAGTTTCAAATGAAAACAAAATAAGTCAGAAGAGAAATGAAATTTGATTTTACTCAAAGTATGAAATAGAGTGATTTAATCAGAGGTAGGCTCTATCTTCTACCTTTATAGTATCTTACCTTTGTTTGAGCATCTAGCTTTTTTTGTGGTGGTGTTCTGTTTCTCTTTCCTTATCTGCAAATTGGATATAATACTGACAACCACCTAGTGTTGTTGGAGGCAGTAAACTTGCAATAAATAGTCAGTAAATGCTTGGAAAAATATAGAGAACTATATAAATAAAAATAAATAAGATACGTATTTTCATTAATAGGTATGATAATCTCAAGTGGTACATAATAAATGTCTGAAAATGGTGTAAATCCTTAAAGTATGAATTTCCTAATTAATCCAGTGCGTTCCAGCATACTTTTATCTTACTGTTATATTCTTTTAACAATTAATGCTAAGCCAACTTGACTAATGTTTTTTAGATTTTTGTTAGTCATATCATTTTGGACAAGTCACAGTTCCTTGTAAAAATGTCTTTTCACTAATAATTCTATAATGCATTCTTATCTCATGTCATTTGGATTGTGATTTTTTTTTCTATATAGTGTATTTAAGGGGGAAACCTGACATTTCTTGACTATTGGGTTCCGTTTGTAATTATTCTTTCAGAATTTATGAGACTGAATATGTTATTTTACATTAGGTCTTAATTTCTGTTGTTTTTATTATTGCACTTAAAAACTGATTTTAAAATTCTAAGATTTTATATATTTTAGCATTTTGGCAAAATTAATTTATTCATTACATGATGTAATTAATTTAGATATATATTGTCATGGGAAAATTATATTTGAGGGGTGGTAGTTGTACGTGTTTGTTTTTACTTTGGTCTTTTAGTTCCAGCGTGTTGTCCTTTTGGTTTTGTTTTATTGCTTTTTTCTTTAATTTTGCTTACCAGAGCCAAAGCCTTAGTAGAAGAACAACGCCTTTTGTTCCTAGGGTTCAGGTAAAGGCCTTGTCTGCCTGATAGAAACTAAAGCTGTGTTTTAACCCTTATTTGTATGTTTTTGGAAAATGCATAGTAGGAAAACATGTTTTGGTATGTTGCTCCAAGTCATATTATTGACTTTCAAATCATTTTATGAGCCAGCTTGTAAGATTCTGCATGGGGATTAAAATACAATAAAAATTTAAAGAGACAATTTTTGTTAGTGATTTTATATGATGAACTGAATACCAAAAGTCATAGATACAAAGTGACATTTAATGTAGACTCTACTTACATATGTACCATCGAAAGAAAAAGCTAATTTAACTGTTGATATTTGCCTTTGTTACACAAGGTTGCTGTCTCTTTAAATCATTCATTATGTCACTTAACATCTACATTTGTTTGCATTTTCCAAACAATAACTCCTTGAGGAGACTGGCAAATAAATTTGTACCTTATTGAAAATATGAATTTTATGCCTATTATATATAAGGTTCAACATTTGGAACGTATAATACTTTGAAAGAACAAAATCACAATCCCCAATTAAAAAGTGTTGGGCTTATTTTGTTTACATTTTGTAATTGTAATTTCATTTAATTTTTCTGTAATAATTGGGTACAAGTTGTTTGCCTCTTTTCATTAGGAAACCCTTATATGGTAAAGTAATATCAATATAGTTTTTTTAAAAAGGTAGTATTACTAGTATGCTTTCCTTGCTTTGCTGCATGTATTTTTTTATTGTTATTGCTGGTTTTGAGTAATACCAATTTAGTTTAAATATTTAAAAATTAAAATTGTTCGAGTTAATATTATATAGTATAAAATATTTACTTGTGCTACTCAGGTTCTGCTTAGGAAATTTAAAAATGGTTACATGGTTAAGCTGGAATGATAATTATGTTAAAACAATTAGAATAATACCAAGAGTTTTATTAATGAAAATGAAGAAAATATAAAGACATATGTCATATTTAGAATTGTGAAATACATTTGTTATGTTTTGGAGAATCAACAGATCTACTAACCATTCATTTAAGAAGCACAGATAAAGAATTTCAAAATGAGATAAAATAGTCTAGCTAATAAAATGATTCTATTTTGATCATGTGAACTGGATATATATTAAAAACTTCAATGCAAGTCCTGTAATATAAAATGAAAACTGGAGCTATTGATCAAATGCCTAGTTTAAGAGAGTTTATTAAAAAGTGTAATTTTGATAAAAAATCATTAAAATTAAAATGTGCCTGTTTCATATCTATTTAAACATTTATATACTTGTAACGTTTAACTCAATAAGCTCTTACATAGTATAAAAATATGAAAGTTATATGCCTAATATTTGTATAAAAATGAATATTACTAAAAAGTGCTATTATTTTCCATGGCATAAGAAAATTGAAAAAGAATGCTCTTTATCAGACATTTGAAATATATATCTCAGATGTTTCGCTTTAATGATTTCAAAGGAGTAAAAGTATTGCCTGTGGTGATGGCTTCAAGTGCTTAGTCTCAATCCTTAAAAAAAAACAGCTCACAGAAATGAGCTTAGTTTAATAATCATCATTGTTTCTTTGTTTCTTAAGTATAAAGTTTATTGGGAAAATTTTTTTTAGCTTTTTAGTGTTTTTTTCTCCTTACGGTATCTAATATTGAATTTTTAATATCGTAGAAAAATAAAGCAATTGGCTTTTTTTTAATTTCTATAGACAATAGAGAATATCAGAGATTAATCTGGTTTTGATCACACATTTTAGAGGAACCATGATGCATGCTACCTGCAGACATCTGTTCATGTCATACACAAGACACTCATTTCTTACCTTTTTTGCTTTGTTTTCCCTCCATGTCTTTTTCCAGAACAACTTAGTCTTTTCCCCACTTACCCTCACCTGTCTCTATGTCCTGATATTGTTAGGCAAGCAAATATGTGAGCTTTTTTCTCCATTCAAATGTTAGAGGCTTTTCTTTCAGGTTGATCCCATAATCTAAGGCCATGGTTCTCAAACTGTAATGTCCGTGGGAATTGGAGGACTTTGTTAAAATGGTAATTCCTGGACCCTATTCTGATTCACTAGGTGAGAGGTGGGCCACAGGAATTTTTAGCTTCTTCACAAATAAACCAGATAACCCTGATGCAGGAGGTCTGTGAACCGCAGGTTAGCTGGTCTGTTTAAACGGAACAGTTCTGTTATGAAAACTTTTTTAACACAGCAGCAAGGTAATATCTGCATTAAACAAGGACTTAACACAACTAAGAGAGTAGTCATTACAATTTTAAAAATTTAAATATTTCTTCTGTAGTTCTATAAGAGGGCTGATTCTATTTGACAAAGAAAGAAAAACATATAAATAATTTTATATACTCTTTTGGGCCATCTGTCTTCCTCTTCTCTTGCTCAGCTTCTCAGTTCCTAAAATACAAAGTGAGGGAGTCAACAAGCCCTGTTAGCTTGGCCCAGACCTGACTGTCCACTTTAGAGAACAGAAGGAAGGACTGACATTAGATGTATATTTAAGTTTTGTAGATGACTGCAAAGTGCATATTCAGGTGAAAGGAAAAATTCAATAATTAACATATATATATATATATATATATATATATATATATATATATATATATATATACCATAAAATATATAAACTGTAAAATACAGATTCTATAACTATATTTTATTCCCAAATTTAAAAATTTTAATTCAATATCAATTTCAAGATAGTATCAGGTGAGTTCTGAACCAATTTGTGGGTCAGAGCCACAGTTATAGTTCTTCACACAGTAGAATCAGCTAACTAGGTGTGGGAGTGTGAGGTACGTGTGTGGGAGGTGACAATAGTTACATCAAATTAATTCTGCAGCTGGATCTGAAGTTCTAATTCCTAATTAAGGCATAGGGAAATTATTCACATTTCCACATCTCAAATTTAAAAATCTACCCTTATTTTCTAAGGATGTGCTACATTTACATCACAAACAAAAAAGAGACTTTATGTCGAAGAAAAACTTAAAGACATGACTTTATTATAGTTTTAAATACAAACTTAAGGAGTCTACTGACTAAAGCTATTAGTAATTTACTGGCGATTATAATTCTTGAAATGTCTTCTGCTGTGGAATTACATAAAACATGTGCTTAAACATTTCTTATGAATGCCATATAAACAAGTTACTATCTATTCAGTTCATTTTGAGCATTTATTTGAGCTCACTATTGTAGGGGAGCCAAAATGAACTACAGTGATTCTTGCATAAAGATAAAACTCAGCAATCATTGCATAGAAAGTCCTTAGTTAAGGTAGTATAATTATTATGTGCATGTTAATAAGCAATCAAATTAGCATAAGAAAATTCCAAGTAATTTATGAATCACACTGACATATTTGGATTAATTCCTCTATTCAGCGAAGTTATTAAAGCATATCCCTTTATTTTGACTAAATGCAATTTACTGAGTGAAATTTATATTCTCTGCCAGTATTAATGTAAGAGAATGTGGTGAATGAAGATGGGGACATAAAAATTATGTGAAGGTAGTAAATGTTTGAGCTGATAAATGAATATTTTTGCTTTTCAGATAAAACTATGGTTTGACAAGGTCGGTCACCAACTCATAGTTACAATTTTGGGAGCAAAGGATCTCCCGTCCAGGGAAGATGGGAGGCCAAGGAATCCTTACGTTAAAATTTACTTTCTTCCAGACAGAAGGTAGGGATAGGAAATAAAAATTTTTTTTTGAAAGTAAGTGAGAAATGTTAATAGCAATGAGTGTTTTTATTCTGTATCATTTATTTTTATCATACCTTTCAGATACTTATGAAGTTTAACATAAGCATAATCATTCTTAGGATTCAAAATAGTGACAGTAGATACTTTGGGATTGTTTTTAAAATTTATATCAAATGTCTATAATATATATTATTTTATTGCGTATTTCTGGTTGTGTGTATTATTTCTTAAATAATATGTTTTGTTTATCAAAATTACTAAAAATTTGCCTCCTTTAAATAAATTGTATTTTCAACACACTGCAGAGGCAAACGCTAGAAATGGTTCTAAAAGGTACTACTCATCGTATTTCTCTATAATTTCTATCTTCTCTTGCAAAGATACTATTTATTTAAATTCTGTAAAATTAATGAGTGTACTTTTTATTTCATCACCCCATGTAATCAAGGAAATTTACCATTTGGCCCAGAATCAGCTTCTTCAAGTGTCATCATGTGTGTGTCCTTGCTAATCAACATAAATGATGTTCTACCCTGATTTAAATAATTAGGATTGAAGAAAAAACTTATCAAAAATTATCTGCTAATCACTGTAAATTTCAGGCACATGAGCAATAAAAGAGATTATTCAATAACATGATGGAAAAAGAAAACAGTAATGGCCCCAGTTATCCTCCCCGCATCTGTTCTGCATCCTGCTGTCGGGGCAGGGGGTTCTCAAGGTCCGCTCCATTCTCTCAGGTTGGAAATGACTGGGCACAATGTGATCTTATTAAATATGTTTCTACACTTTGCGGCCCTCATCTACTTAGTTTAGGTCTTCGAGGTTGAGTTGGGTGTCAGAGTATCCTCTGAAGAATAATTTCAGCCAAGAAAAAGATGAAAAGGATGAAAGAATTAAGAAAGGCCTTACATTTTATGATACACATTTTTTTCTTTTTTTAAAAAATATACTTTATTGATTTTAGAGAGGGAGGGAAAGGGAGAGAGAGATAGAAACATCAATGATGAGAGAGAATTATTGATTGGCTGCCTCTTGCATGCACCCTACTGGGGATCAAGCCGGCAACCAAAGCATGTGCCCTGACCGGAATCGAACCTGGGACCTTCAGTCTGCAGGCTGATGCTCTATCCATTGAGCCAAACGAGCTAGGGCTATGATACACATTTTTAAGTGAAAGTTGTCATAGAAATTTCTCAGAAAATATGTCAAGGGGGGACAATTTCTAAAATTGTCAGAAGTTATTTGCTATCTCATTTTATTTTACAAAGTTTGCTTGAGGATAGTTGTTCTCTAACAACTTAGGTTGTCTTTTGGACGGGGGGACCCTTTGAACTGCAGTGGAGGAAGAGGACATCCATGACCAGAGTGTTAAATCTAGGTTAAACTTCAGTTTGCCTTATTAAATTCTAATCATATCTGCCGGGTTTGCAAAAAACTTCAGAGATTATCTAGTCTCCCTCCCACCCAGTACAGAAGAAATCCCTTCTGAAATAGCCATTCTTTGAGAGCTTTCTTCACTCCTTAGGAGGAAGTCAAGGCTGCTGCTTCTATTCCCTTTCAGATCGCAGTGTAGACCATTCTTGAATTAGATAGCAAGACTCCCACTAAATACATGCTTTCTTACTGTCTTTCATGGAAGGAACTTTGTCTCTTGACAGAGTTTCATAATTCATTCTTTAATGGATGGATATAAGTAGATGCTTTAAAATATTAGTTAAAATTTTAGAAGGACTGGAGTGAGAGAAAACTATCACAGTGAAGTGGTGAACATCACAATTTACTAGAGTTTTTGGTCAATTGAGACTCTGGCAGTTTAAGTGAATAGTATATGAAGAGTTTTTGGTTAATTAGCATTTGGAAGATTTCCAATTGGGAAATATGTTAAAAAAATTTAGGAATAAGATTCAGTAGTCTTATTTAGATTTTGAGAAAGATAAAGTATTCAATTATCTCATGGAAAATTTTCAAACTTATTGAAATGTTGCCATTATTAAGTCAATACACATAAGTGATGTAACTATACAACTTAAAAATTTTAATAGTAATTTTAAAGATTACAACATTTGCAATTTTGGACAAATTTGTGGTAAAACTTTACTTGACCTTTTTCCTGGGAAATTTTACATTAATAATTGTATGGCAAATTTAAAATAAAGTTTTATATAAGTTCATATATTCTAATCTTTTCATAGCGATAAAAACAAAAGAAGAACGAAAACTGTAAAGAAAACATTGGAACCCAAGTGGAACCAAACATTCATTTATTCTCCAGTCCACCGGAGAGAATTTCGGGAACGAATGCTGGAGATTACCCTTTGGGATCAAGCTCGAGTTCGAGAGGAAGAAAGTGAATTCTTAGGAGAGGTATGTGTCATCCCCTAATATATTCTTTAATATGACTGCCAGTAAAAATTTATATTTTGATGGAATCAATTTAGCTACTTCTTTAAGACAGAATTTATTGATGTCATAAAAAACAATGGTTCTAAATACTCTGTGACAATATTTCCATGTTTATTCTTATTGTATTTTTATGTCTCATTGTTGAATGATAGGAGTTTCACAAATATATATATTGCTGTTTTATAATGTGTGCATATCATTTAGTTTACTGAACCAGTCGTAATGCTTTTAGGTCAGTCATTTCGTCCTGGATTTTGTTTAAGCTTTGTAATATACCTGTAATATGCTAGGCTCTGATGCTTCCAAGGTGAATCCAGCATGTTACTTCCTTGAAGGAATTTATAATCCACAGGGGCTCCAGATGCGTGAATAGGCAATTATAAAATAGGATGGCAAATGCTGTTACAGAGTAAGGCAATAGGAATATGTTCGTACTTGCTGTGCCAAGGAGGGGAAAGTGGTCCAGGGAACGCTCCACAGAGAAAGAGGAATGTAGCAAGGTCCAGGGGAGTGAAATTTCTGGAGGGGGAATAAGAAGACACTAGAGTTGAGGGGGTCTTGTCAACGGCACTGAAGCTGGAAGGGAAATGGTAAGAAATGAGACTTGAAGGTTAAACTGGCACCGGATTGTGTCCCTTAATCCGTCACATTAAAAAGTTTGGATTTTATCCTGTGGGTAATGGGAACCAGTGGTAGATTTTAAAAAGAGAATGGCTTGATTGCCTTGGACTTGAGAAAAATGTTTTAGTGCAATGTGGAGAATTAATTAATTGGAGAGGGGCAAGATGAGGGGCAGTTCTTCAGCTATTAACACACTAAGTTACCTGCTTTCAGCACTTTTCAACGTGATTCGTTTTCCTGAGTAAATAAAATGGTAACCTGCTGGGAAAACCAACAACCTACAGAAATATTAAATTGAATGTCAGTAGCGAAGTAATCAAAGAGTAGTAAGCCAGTTAGGAAGAAGGGTGACAGAGTTGTCAGGACAGCTGTCTGGGTCTTGCATTTGTGGCACTTCTGCTTCCTAGCCTGTGTCCTTGAGCAAGTTATTAAATCTATTTCTCTTTCAGCTTCCTCTTCAACCAAGTAGGAATGCTAGGAGTTAATATGAGGATTAAATAAGTGTATGTGTATGTGTCAAAATTTGGAATACAGGGCCTATAACTTTGAAAATGACTAGGGAAAATTTGGGAAGGATGAAAGAAACTTAGCTATTTTGCTTCGTTACCTCCCATAGCTAAATAGTGATTTATCACTAAATAGCAGTTCTCATGTTCCTAAGCATAAATGCTGTCATAGTTGTACCTGACTCTAAAAGAAAAAAAAGGAGTTATTCATTTCTATGAACTAGTTTCCTGTTAAAATTTATTAAACATTTATATTTTAAAATGCATATTATAGTATGTTTCATTTTTAAAAATCAAATGTTCCTTATTGAATCTTTAGCAGCATATATTGAACAGAGTTTTATTTGGTTCATAGTATACCTCTTTCACTTACCAGCTGATGTGAGCTGAGACAAGCTCTTTTAAACCTTTTTTAGCCTTGATATCCTTTTCTGTAAAAGTTGAATAACAAGACCAAACTAGTAGGTTGTTTTCTCCTCCCAGAAAATGTAGGCAACATATAACATGGTTTTTAATACCCATTAGACACTTCTAATTTGGTTTTCTCTCTCCGTTTCGAGTTTATGAAAAGGCTAAATTAATGAATGAAATTGCTTTTTAAATTATAAAATACACTAGTATTATTAGAGACTTTTAATAATAGGTGTTATTTCTATCATAGCAAATTCAACAGCCTCTAGTAAGTGGTTAGTCGAAATAAATTTAAATATCTTAGATATTTAAAACTTTTAAATAATTAAGAAGTTATAAATATTTATTTATTGTGAAAACATATGAATAACTTTGCAACATGACTTTGCTTTGGATCTAATAGCATTACTATTATATTTTAAGAGAGTTTCTGTATTATTGGTATATAACGGTTTTTGTCTCTTGGCTTTGTAGATTTTAATTGAATTAGAAACAGCATTATTAGATGATGAGCCACATTGGTACAAACTTCAGACCCATGATGTCTCTTCCTTCCCACTTCCCCATCCTTCTCCATACATGCCACGAAGACAGCTCCATGGAGAGAGCCCAACACGGAGGTTGCAAAGTAAGTTTTCAGTAAAATTTATCAAATCTTTATTGAATTATCTTGAATGATAGATATGACATGGAATTTGAAGATATCTTTATGGGTATTAACAGGTATCTCAGTGCTTTCATAGCTGTTATTGAAACCTTTAATTGTTTGATACACTAAAATGAGGTTATACCTATGTGTAGTATGTATAGTCTGACTCCGAATGAAACAGTTATTTTTGATTCATTGATGAGTAATGTTATTCATCACTTTCCTGAAACATTAGTTTGAAAAGTGTATTTGGATGTTTAAGTCTTTATTGTTGTATATTCTTTATTGTTTTCAGTTAAAGTTGTGTAGCATCTTAAGGTAAAAATCTTCTTTTTTAACATGACAGAAATCATTTATAAATTTATTATTTGATATTAACTATTTTCATAACATTTGAACTGCAAAAGTTCAGTTAGAGATTTCTTTAATTTGATACTTCATTCTTTGTCTCATATCAACTAGATTCATCTCTTAAAATTCTCAAATAATTCTTAGTAAAATGTAATATTATCACCCTTTCAGTTTTTAAAATAGAAAACATCATACCTATTATACTTTCATTCAGACCATCACCAGTCTTTGAAGAAGAGTGAATGGAAACAAATTATTGAGACAAAACCAAAATGATGCTGTTGCTAGGTGTAAGATAAAAGAGACATGATTTCACAATTAAGTTTTTCAGGATTTCAGCTATTTGTGTGGACATTGGAGGCCAATATTTCTTTTAATTCTCTACGCAATTGAATTTCTTTCTCTTGGATGGCAATTACATATACATATACAGACCACTAGATATTTTTTACTGGTGTCATTATTATCTTATATCAGGGGCAGATCTGATTCTTAATCAATATTAGAGTCATGTAATCTTTTTGCTCTGTATTATACCTGGCATATTAAAGTAATCACATTACACTGTTCTTCTTTAATCTCTCAATACCTTCATCTGTGTTATCCCTCTTCTCTTTTGAGTCTGTTTAGAATGTATGTCCTAATTGTATAAGCCCTTATATGCCCAGTCTGTTGGGATGTCATCAGATGATTCTAATTTGCATGTCAATTGGAGCTACAACAGCCTCAGATTTGATTGGGTCTAAAGTTTAATGACATAAGAATTTAGAAGGAAAATAGTGAATTCATTCAGTGAGACCACATAATCTCAGATCTTTTTCTTCTACCTAACCATTAGAAGAAAAAAAACAAGAATGCAGTTCCTGGCAACAAAGACTTCCTGTCCTAAGAGAGTAGGGATTGTAACAAGCAAAACAAGAAAAAAAGTTTATAGGGTATTTCTAATATTGGAGGGCATTCCTAGAATGTTCAAATATTGCTATTTTAAACATCTTAGACAATGTGAGATCTCAATGTTTTATAAACCTACAGGAAAGCATTTATTTTCTGATAAGTGCGTTTAGTCTATTTAATGAATAACAAAATGTAAGTAGACCAAACAAGTCATTTTTTGAAATAGCAATACTGTTTTTATTTATCATTATATGTTTTCTCCTTTGAAAGATTCTATCATGTCAGGTGTGCCTATTGCTGAGACTCATGTAGAGAATATATATATTGAAAATAAAATATAGCATGTTTAAATATGTGATATATTTTCTAATTCACATGAAGATAATCTGCTTTAGCCATCAAAGTTCTACTTAGTTCATTATCAATGCAATTTTTGCCAAGCATGATAAACATTTTAACATTTTGTTAGGGGTTTGTTTTGCAATAAAACATATATATGGAGCTCCTGATTCATAATAATTTTTACTGTTCTGTCTTAGCCTATTTCTTAGAAAACATAACACAATTCACAATTTAGATGTATTTGTCGGTTTGTGAATGATTTATTGCAAATTTTCTCAAAGCAATAGAAAAACAGCTAAACTAATAGTTACAAAGGGATGTTTGAGATGTCTTAAATTATGTTTTCTCTCCATGAGTGTGGAAATTAAATAATTGGGTATACTTAATTTATTAGACAGTCCTATTTGAAAAAGACACATGAATGATTTTGGAAGAACATGTTGTTTATGTTTTAACATTTACCTAAATTCAAGTGCCTTAGCTATTTTGACTAACTTTTTCTCCAATACATTTTGTCAATCAGTATCACATCACTTACATACATCATTTGATATTTAATATTATTTTAAGCTTTAAACTGTTTGAGAGCTTTATCTTACACATTTCAAGAATAACATACCTACATCATGAAATACGTGTAAAATATGTTTGTGAACTCATGTGACTTTCCTTCTCTCTCTATTTCTTATTCTCAAATTCCAGTCAAAATCCTTCCATTGATTTTTCAGGTTGGTGAGAGATTATTATTTTTTCCTTAGTAATTACCAATTTTGATTATTGCTGTTTGCTTTATAGGATCAAAGAGAATAAGTGACAGTGAAATCTCTGACTATGACTGTGATGATGGAATTGGTGTGGTGTCAGGTAAGAATTTCAGAAATATTTCATAATAAGAAGGTAGAGTAAATTCATCATTATTTACCAATAGATAGATAGATAGACTGATAAAATGAGAAAGAAATAACTTGCCTCCTCATCTCACCAAAAAGAACCTTATGGTAATTTAAACTCCTGATTAGTTCTTATTGCTGGAACACCTGCACCAATTGTTAGATTGAATATTCATATGGGAATATTTTAGATAAGTGAATTCTTACTAATTTCCTGTTTTAAACCACTAAATAATAAGGATTTCTCTGTAATTTTGAGGAATTATTGTATAATTAAAACTTCTTTACATACTGTGCTAACACTGTGAAAGAGAAGAAAACCTTTTTGAGATCACCAACATACCCAAATATGTCAAATACTAGAATAAGTATTTTGAATTTTTTTTCATCGTTGTTGTGTTGGTTAAGTATCAGCTGCAGCTACTTTTGAACTTAAGGCATTATCGTTTAAAATATTTGCTAATTCATTATTATAAATTATCGGATGATTTAAAATATAGGTAAGTAGCCATTTAAAAAAAATAAATTCTGGGAAAAAACATATCACACTATACTCATTAATATTATAAAAATGTTTCTCTTCTTCTTGAAGGTAAATTAACCTAACATATTTCAAGGGTACGACTAATTTTACCTTGAACAAAATGAGTTCTATTGCATGTAAAACATGCTACAGTTGCATCAATTATTGATAAGAATTTTTGTTTGGCAATTTTTGTTAGAGTTGCATCAGTTAACATGCTATCAGGTTACCTATTACTTTTTAAAAATTCCATGGCTATCTTTTAGTTTTTATTTTTGCAGTAAGGGTGAACAATATATTAATTTACTAAAACTGCCAAAAATAATTTACATGTCTTATGGTTTGTGAATTAAACCTTAATAAAATGGCTTTGAAAAATATTTCTCATAGTCTCTTGCTTGGGAATAATAACAATTTTCTCCCCAATTGTATTCTATTCCTTTAATAATTGATTTTTCCAGTTTTCTTTATCCTAAAAAATTTCCTTCAGGTTTTGAACTTCTTCATCTTGATGCCATTTTTGGTATATCTCAATTCTTTCATTTTCTATTTTCAGAATGGCAAAAATATGATCATTTTATTATTTTTCCATTCTGTTAAAGGAAGTGTATTTTTGAAAAAGAAATTTATAGGAATCTTTCATTATTTGGGTTAATATTGTCTATATTTTTTCTTCTTTTCTATTACTGAATAGTATTTAGAAAAACCTGAATAATTCAAAGTAATTGCCCTGGGTTTATTATTTTTCAACATCAGAAAAATCATCCTTGTTTCTACATTTTTCTTTCTGCCTATGTAGAGAGTACAATAGTGAATCATTTACTAATCCATTGAGGAATGTATTTGAATATTTGTCATTTTTTTTAAGTGTTTACAAAGTATTATTATGTCTTAGTATTACACTATACCTTTACAATATTCAAAGACTTCAGCTTCACCAACGTTTTATGTTTTTCAGTAACGTAGAAAATACAAAAGGACTTAGTGTGTCGGTAACTGTCATCTTAATCTTTCCACCTTTAGATTATCGACACAATGGTCGAGATCTTCAAAGCTCAACATTATCAGTGCCAGAACAAGTAATGTCATCCAACCACTGTTCCCCATCAGGCTCTCCTCACCGAGTGGATGTTATAGGAAGGACTAGATCATGGTCACCCAGTGTCCCTCCTCCACAAAGGTAAGAGAGCATACACATGTTATTTGTAGGGTGGTATTACAAGCCTTCTTATGGTAAAATACCATGAATAACCTCTAAAGATAATACATTCTTGTGGAAAAAGTTACTTCAGGAAAAACAAAGATGCTATTGGATAACCTACATAATGAGAGTAAAATAAAATATCGTCTACTTCATGACTTTGGAAGACCCAGATCTTGTTTTATTGGAAGAGTTCAAAATTATAAACAGGATCCAGCTTGAAATCACTTATCAATATTGAGCAGATGTAGTTATGACCAACTTACTATACTCATAAATGGTAGAGATATTGATAACTTAAGGAACAGGAAAAGATAAACATGTGATGGTACTTTAAAATTAGGAACCATCATGGGAAGAGTTAAAGAGAAGGATGGCTTAGTAAATCTGTAGCTCCAGGTTTTACGCCTCGTGGAAAACTCTGATCAATCCAGGTAAGTACTGAAAGGCTTAATAGAGTTAGAGCCATGGAAATAATATACTTGCCATTAATAAATATGTGCATAATTCACAACTTATATACTTGAATATTGAAGAAATATGAAATCTTTTGAATGTTAAAATTTGAACATTATAGCTCCTCTTATAAATGAATAATTGAATTAATTTTAGACTTGGAATTTTTAATCATAATCTTAATTTGATGCATGGTATGAACCATCTAAGAGAACTTGAGGTTTGTATTTATAAATTTAACTTATTTAATTTATAAGGATATTAAGTACTTAAAATGTTTACTTAAGTTTAGACATTGAATAAATTAAAAAGGAAATGTAATATATTAACTTCATAAACATAGTTTAAAATGTTTGAAGATGTTGAGTTAACTAAGTTTGTAAGTGAAACTAAAATTATTGAGTTCTGAAAAGTCAATTTTTAAATGTGGTCGACTTCTCAATAGAGTGATATGATTTGGAGCTTATATAAAAGGCTTATTCTATCATGAAAAGGAAATAGATGATCCAGACCAAGAATAGTAGCTTAAAAAATCATCATGATCAATTAGCAATATTTCAGTTTAGGTTTTTTAAAACAATCATTATCCCTAAAATAGGATCTGGCAATATATTGTCTATAAGCAACATGCTGAACTCATTTTCTCCACACTGATCAATTTTTCTGGCAGTATTTTTGTATCATTGAATGTCACTACTAGAGATCTCAGAGTCATGTATTAATAGCTTTGATAATCCTATCGCTATCCTTATCGGTAGTATCTTGATTTTATGTCATATCTCTGTTCTAGAACTAATCTCCTAACTTCACTGTCAACCTCCAGTCGACATTTATACCATTAGCCAGAGGTACAACTAATTAGTTAAAACAAAACAAAAACCTTGGACTTGACATGATAGTAGTTTTTGTCTTTTTCTATTGTATTTATTAATAAACCTCATTTGTCAGTGTAGTACACGATTATGATTTTAATATATTTAATGGATCTTGCTGTTTCAGTCGGAATGTGGACCAGGGACTTCGAGGGACACGCTCTACGACTGGCCATTATAATACCATTAGCCGAATGGATAGACATCGTGTCATGGATGACCATTATTCTCCAGACAGAGACAGGTGAATATGGTTAAATACTCTTCTATCTTATTACAATCGCTGCCTTCAGGAAAAAGGGGTTACTATTAAATGTTTTCATTCTGAAATTTATTAAACCCTATGTATTCTTCACAATGCCTACATTCATTCTTATGACCCCCACATCATTAAAAAAAATACTAAAACAAAACAAAACACAATAGTTTCTTTAGTGAGAAAAAATAAATCATCTTGCTCTTGCAATTCTGGGCCTTTGTTAAATCAAATTAGTAAGTTAGTAAATTTGCACATGAGGTTATAATGATAGTCATAATGAAAATGAGGTGTTTTAATATTTTTACCTTTTAATTATTATCTATAAAAATACTTCCATGAGACAATAGATTTTAGTCTGTTACATTCATAGGGAAATCAATGTGACTTTTATATACTTTTATATATAAGTATATAAGTATATATATATATATAAGTATATATATATATAAAAGTATATATAAGTATATATACTTTCATACACTTTTATATATACTTTTATATATGAGATAAGTCTGGTTTGTTTAGGAAACACAAAAACTGATTCATGAAGAGGTTCTTCCTCATGGCTTTAGCAAACTTTTTAAGCATCGTAAAGAATCATGCTGTTGATTGCTGTACTTGGAAGAATTCTCTGAATTTGCTCTATTAAATGTGACATACTTGGAATCAATTAATACATACATTAATTACTACTCATTTTTTAATTAGGCAAATTGATTAACTCTAATTCATGGTTTGTTGTTTATAAAATAAAAAATGCTATGATATTTTCCCCAAACTATCAAATGGCTTTGAAATAAGAAAAGAAAACGTAATTTACCATTCAAAGAATGTTGCGATAAAATAACAAGGGAACTCAGAAGTCCTTTTGTATGCATCCCAAACTAATTTTAGTAGAAATACTTGGGGGATTTAAATCAACTAATATGAGCTGTATCTGTCAATATCCATAAATTTGTTATGTCTACATACAGGGTTATATATTCAATTCATGCTTGTAATTTCATTGTTTTTTAGCACATGTTTTCTTTAATAGAGTAAAGCAAGTATTGGCTTTTGAGTCTGAGACCTAAGAAGAAATTAAGAAGTTATTAAATTAAAGTCTTTATCAGTGTTGAATGAAAGTTAGTGTAGTATATTACTTTTATTTGTTTGACTTTTTCATAGTTTTTTAGGTCTTTAGGTGTAACTATAGGTATGCTACCTATAAAAATTTATGTTTATAAGTACAATAAGAGTGAATGAAAGATAAACTATCTTGGCATGATTAGGAGTTAGAAGGAGTCCTATGAGGGTGTGTGAATGATTACTTTTGTCATATAATAAAATTTTAATGTGTTTGATTATTTCTGGAAACTATATTGATTAGTTTCTCAACACTATTATTACAAATAAACATTTCTAGAATGTTTCCGTGATTCAAACTCATTGTTTATTGAAAATGTAAGGAAATGAGGGGACAAAAAAGTCTGAAATGACTAGAAATCCTTCAAGTTTATGTTAAGTTCTTCTTATAATTAAAAATGGACTTGATATTTTCTCTGAAGACAATATGGTCTAAGTCTTGCAAAGAAGGATGGAATAAAATTAGCCTCTAGAATTATACTCACACACAAAAGGTGTCACTATCATGCAAACATATAATATTTTAGTAATATTTTAAGGCAAATGGCCCTTTATAACTTTAAGAGTCTTCTAGTTTAGCAAAAATTTTCAACTAATTCAAAGGATTGGAGAAATTGATCTATGTGGTTTTATTACTCTCTTGGAGTGCCATATATTATTACTAGATCATAATTACTGTTAATTATGAGCTGTTTTAAATCCTTTTTGAAATAAGTAAAATAGAATGTTATTCAAGTAGGACTATAAAACCATTTGTAATATATTATTTTTGAGTTATCTGTGAAACCATTATTTATTAACACAAGGAATCAAAACTACAGTATTCATGTACTCTATCATAATATTAAAAAATGGGTTCTAATAGAATGAATGTAAAAACATTGTAATTTTTATGTATTATTTAATTGGTAAGAGTACTCTAGAACTCTTACAGTGAATACTCATCAACAGCATTTTATCGGGGCAATCAAAAGTCTAAAAGAAAATTCCCTTTGAAATAGTAAGTAAATTTAGGTATTTTGCACGGTGTGTTAACCGTTCTTGTCAGTAAGAGTTGATGCAGTGGACTAGGACAGTGTTTTATTGAATACTTTGTCATGGTATTTGAAACCAAAAGGCATTGGGTTTGAATTTAGGCTTTTTACACTTGCTAACCATGTATCTTTGGGGAAATTAACTCATCTATATAACTATAATAGTAGTACCAATTGTACCAGGTTGTTGTGCCCACTGGATGACACAATGCCTCCAGTTGCATAGTATATACTCGGAAAATGTGCCTTACCCCTTAGCATGTTTAAAGGATCTTTTGTCTTTCAAATAATTTACATTTTTATGGGCTTATCGATTAAGCAGAAAAAAGGGAAATCAGTCAATTCATATGTTTTTTAAAAAGCTACGTAGAGAATGTAGGGCATGTGTTGGACCTTGAAAAATGAGCACGTTTATCCAGGTGAGAACAAGAACAGAGATCCAGGGCAGAACACACATGTGCGTACGAAGGATGAAGGACTTGGGGATGTGTTGGAAAGTTATGCAGGAAGATAATGGCTTTTACACCCATATGAGAAATGATGCTATTTGACATTCATTTATAGCATCTGGTTAAACTTAAGTGGTATAAGAAGGAGATATATAGGTAACATAAAAATCATATATCAAAATTTGATTTGATCTTTAGTGCTCGGCACCTCTTACTCTTTTGTCCTTAGTCAAAATTCTATTTTGTTTTGAAAAGAAAATAAGTTCTTTACGAATAATTTAGAGACTTGAGTGCAGGGGTATTAGCTGAAATGATGAATTGCAAAGGGCACCTTTCATCTACCTCTCTATCCCCTATTACTTTTTGTATCATTGCTTCTATGGTAAATTAGTGTTAACTGCTACAACTAAGAACATACTTTTCCTGGGGAAAACTATGTAGCTTTAGTGTTAGAAATTATTTTAAGAGCTTATCTGTTTATATGACTTAATTTACTATTAGAATAAGTATGGAGTACTAGATAATATTTCTGTAACACGTCAGTGATATCCTGCAGTAAGAATTTTATTTATCCAGAGGCCAGAATATTTTGGGTACATGGAGTTAAACAAACAAAAAACTTTGATGGCCAAAATCTCTGAAAGAAAAGGTTTACTGAGCCAAATGCTATCCAGAAACGGACTAGGTCCTGCAGTGTGAAGTCCAAGCTAGCAGCAGCATGTCTAGGTAGAAAAAACAAACACATTCGCCGTCCTGGAATTAACAGATGGTTTTATGTTTTGAAGAAGAAGGGTGAAAGTTGTCTTGAAAGAACTTACATTGGCTACAGATAAAGGGGTGGGAAGAAGTGGAGTGGGGCAGTTCTAGGATAGGCGCACAGTCAGTAAGGAAGTGATATTTACTGCTTTTGATGGGTTGTGGGAAACAGTCCTGAAAGTTCAGGCATAAGCAGGATGCTGTGACTTCTGGTGGTGGCCAGAGACGTTGATTCAAAGCTCCAGCATACGGTCAGGAACGTAAGCAGTCTCTTAGTAGGCCCACAGCTGTTAATGGGCTAAATACTCTTCTCTCTTTCTCTTACTCCCAACCACTGTAATTTAATGTAGGACCTCTCAGAATTTTTTTAAATACTTTTAGCATTATAAGAAAGAACTATAATTAACAGATATGTTAATTCATAAACTTCAATTAACACATTTATATTTTAAGAAGAAAAATACCCTCCTATATGGGTCTCTGAGATTCCTGACACTCTTGAGCCACTTCTCAGTTTTTTATTAGGCAACGAGCTGGCAGAAAGTGTCAAACCCATACCTACTTCGAGCCGTTAGGGCCCTTTTAGTTATCAACTATGAGGTGAAACACATCTCTGAAAGTTTGATAATATAGAGAAAGTAAATGAAAAGAGAATTCATTTTACAAAAACAGTGCAACATTTTATGTATTACATTTAAGGAACACATTTTAACATAGTTAAATCATACTGAGTATATTTTAGGAACTATGGAGTAGCAAAGCATTAACAATATTATAGACAAGCAGAGAGTTTTGTATTAAATTGAGATTGTTGGAAACTTAGCTTTAAAAAAACCAAGGCTGTTAGTTACTTAAGGGTGTTATAGCTTATATTCTCACTTTGCAATCCTTTTTGTGTGTCTGGTGGATTCTAAAAGGGTATAACTGGGCTAATTTAATATATTAGAAGGGTACTTTATTATAAATATGACTTTGTTAAGTCTTTAAAGATTGTATTACTTAAGAATCAAAGAGTGTCTAGATATTGAATCAGTGATCTAGGTCAGTTCACTATTTGAATAGTAATATTTTAATCATGATTTTAGAATGTGTAATTTCATTTTTTGCTTTTTAAAATTAGGTAATTTTTCAGGTTTTTGTTTATTTCTTCTACAATAAATTACTTTCCTGCTCAATTTTTTAGAAATTTGGAACAGATGGGATTAATGACATTTTTCATGTAACTTACTTTATTTGTTTAACTCATGTATATTCAAGACAGTACTTATTGCTTAGATTTTACAATATCTATTAATTTTTGAAGAAAAATAAGCACGGCTTAATAGAGCAGTGGGAACAAAATGTTTTTTTATTTGTACCAAGTGGATGCAGCAAAAGACCTTGGATGCATCTCAGGATCTTGGTGGATTTTTAGGGCGCTTATTGAAACAGTATGGTTAATTTAGTATAATATTCACAGGTGCATTTTACAATTTTCAGCAGAATCTCAAGGGGATCTTATGACAGCATTAGGTTAAGAGGTATAACATGACTATAGAAAAGCATAGAGTAAGGGTTTTCCAGAAAAACAGAACCAGTAGGATAGATAAATAGACAGACAGACAGATAGTGAGGAATTGGCTCACATGATTATGGAGGCTGGAATGTTCCACAATCTGCTCTCTGAAAGCAGAGACACATGGAATTGTGGTGTAATTGAGTCCACGTCTGAGGTTGATAACCAGGGAGGTGATGGTGTAAACCCCATGCTGGGGGCCAGAGAGATAGGAGACGTCCCATTCAAAAGTGAAGCAGGAAAAGGAGGAGGAATTCCTCTTTCTTCCTCCCTCTATTCTATTCAGACCCTCACCAGATTGCAGGATGCCCACCCACATTGAGGCAGTCTACTCGGTCCATGATTCAAATGCTAATCTCATCTGCAAGCAGCCTTACAACACACCCAGGAATAATGTTTCATATTGGCACCTCTTGGATAGTTAAGTTGATGCATTAAAATTAACCAACACTGAAAGGGAAAATAAAATAACTGATGCTTGATGAAGGTGGTTCTTGCTTAATGTTTCCTTTGACATAGAGTCAAAATCAATTATAAGGTTCTTCTAGGAATCTATTAGAAATTAGAGGATGATATATATGTTCTATGAATTTGAAAATTTTAACAAGCTTTGAATTACTCACATTTTCATTACTCTAAAAAAAATCTAATGTATACCAGCAATTTGTTGGCATATACAATATATAGTATATATATATAATATATAGTATGCCAACTAATTATAAAGAATAGAGGACTGTGAGGCAGAATCATAATATTGCAACAGATTGGAAAGAAAATTACTTCCTTAGGTCTATTGGAAAAGTTTTAAAAAGAAGTTGGACTTTAACAATTGATTAGAATTTTGAAAGTTAATGTAGAGGACACAGAGGGTACAATGGACATTCTTGGCAGAGTGACGTGAGCATGAACAAAATCTTGCCATCAGAAAAGCATGGCTTGTATTTAGAGAATCTCAGGTAGCCTGGTGCACCTCAGTAAAAAGTTGTGGTACAGGAGGTGAGTAGTAATAGGAGATGAAGGTTCAGAGTAGTTTAGAACTCCATTTGCATGCCATTTTAAGGAATATGTACTTGTTTTACGATGTGGAAAGCCATTGAAGGATTTTGAGCAAGGTACTTACATAATTTGAAATATACTTCTCTAGACAGGATGGAGAATGGATTGGATCAGGAGAGGGTTGGAGTCTGAAGGAAGGGAGACCTACTAGAAGGTTATTTTAATAGACAGAGTAACCCTGATTTAAAGTAGTGGCAGAAAAATGGAAGAGGAGGCATAAATCTGAGTTAAACCAGCAAGGTTTATAGCTAATCAGTTGAATGTGGACAATAAGAAAGGTGTAGGATTTAAATTCTGAGATTTTAAAACTTGGTTTATTAAATAAATATTTAAATTCTTAGTTGAAACTGGGATTACAAGACGAGGAACAGGGCCTTTAGAGATCTTGGAGTCCCAGCTTCTGAAGAGGCATCTGTTGTAGGTAAGGATGAAGCGGAAAGGAAAGGATCTAGGTCTCATTTTCTCTATACCCACAGTCATTCTGATCTTACTGCATTTATATATATCTATTGGTTTAACTTAACATTTTGTTAGAAAATTTGAAAGCTACTGCTCGAGGCCTGTCATTTCACAGATGTAGCACCAGATGCCCGAATATGCAAATGACTTGGTCAAGCCTCACAATTAGCATGTGTTTTTCTGAAGAGTCTGCAGGACATTCAAGCAGCCGTGTGAAGAGCCCAGAAGGCCGTAGGAAATGCGTTGTGAAACCCAAAGAAAAATTAAGGCTAAAGCTAGAGTTTGCACCATAAGAACAAGTAATATTATACAGAGCAGTGGTTCTCAACCTTCCTAATGCTGCAACCCTTTTATACAGTTCCTCATGTTGTGGTGACCCCCAACCATAAAATTATTTTCGTTGCTACTTCATAACGGTAATTTTGCTACTGTTATGAATCGTAATGTACATATCTGATATGCAGGATGTATTTTCATTGTTACAAATTGAGCATAATTAAAGCATAGTGATTAATCACAAAAACAACATGTAATTATATATGTGTTTTCTTAGGTGACCCCTGTGAAAGGGTCGTTCGACCCCCAAAGGGGTCTCGACCCACAGGTTGAGAACCGCTGATATAGAGAATTTTTTGGACTATAAGGAGGATCAAGGATTAAATCTTGGGAAATCACTGCACCTAAGAATACAGAAAAGGGAATCTAGTAGATGAAATTAATAAAGAAGCAAGAGACCAAGCCATATGTACAAATGTTAAGATCCTGAATTTTAGATTAAGGAAGCCCTGAGCTTGAAACCCAGTCCTGCTACTTACCATATGGCTATGGGCAAGCACTCATAGCTCAGTGTCTCTGTCGCTTGGAATACTAGAACCCACCTCAAAGAGTTTTTATAATAAGTAAATGGGATAAAATAGACAAAGTGTAATGGAATACTTGGCACATAGTTAAGTGTTAAATAGATATGATTTTTATAGCCAGAAAAATAGTGTTGAGAAACCAAGAGAGGAGTGTCAAGAAATAGAGGTTGAAAATCAATGTCTATCTAATACCATAGACACATGCAGTATGATGAAGATTAAGAAAAGATTAAAGGATTTTTCTAGAATTTCAAAGGTAACATTCACAGGATAACTTCAAGAGAATTGTAGAGGAAAAAGTCAAGGAAAGTCACAGAGATGCAATGGCTTGTAAGGAAGGCAAGTTCAGTTAAGCTTTTATTTTTAGGATTAAGTGCACTTGAGGAATGTAATCTATATATATAAAAGCCTAAGCAACTGGTCGACTGGTCACTATGAGGCACACTGACTACCAGGGGACAGATGCTCAACACAGGAGCTGCCCCCTGGTGGTCAGTGCACTCCCACAGCGGGAGCTCCACTCAGTGAGAAGCCAGGCTCACTGCAGGCGAGCGCAGCTGCGGTGACGGTGATGGGAGCCGCTCCTGTCTCCACGGCAGGCAGCGCTACTGAGGGGTTGTGGCAGGCGCAGCAGGGCCAGGATGAGCAGCAGTGGGACTGCGCCCGGCCCCAGCTGGGGCTCCTCCCCAGCCACCTGCCACTTCGGCACTGCTACATCCCTCAGGGTCCTGGGTTGAGAGTGGGCGAGTGGGCAAGTGGGTGCAGGCCAGGCTGAGGGACCCCACCCGTGCACGAATCTGTGCACCGAGCCTCTAGTAGACAATAATGAATGAGGCAAGGTCATGTGGGAAGTAGAATTACAAGTAGAGGAATTTCTTCCTTTGGTGAAGAAGAAAAGGACAAGTGAAAATATAAATATATGTTTGCTCTATATTTAGAGGTAGAAGAATGGAAGTTGAGAGAGTTCAAGGTTGGTTTCTATTTTTTACTGAAAGGCAGTGATCATCTGCCAAAATTAAGTGTTTTAAGAAAATAGCAATAAAGGTTTTAAGAAAATAGGAAATTTTTCAATTAGTGCAAAGAAGAGAATCACAGAGGGCTGAAAGGTCCGTGTGCTGCTTTGATGACTGTGGTGGACATGAGGCATGGAATACAGCAGAGCCAACAGCATGCAATAAACATAATAAAAATAACGAATGGAAAAATGGATAGTATCCAATAAATTTAATAAATACAGTTAATCAGAAATGATTTGAATCAGTTTGTTCTTTACCAAATTGAATTTATAAAGAAAGCCTTTTAAGTTATTAATGGTTGAAGAAGAAATAATTGCCTTATAAAATCTCCTGAGTATGCGCAAGTATTAAAATTCGCCTCTTTTATTATTTTCTTCTGAGCTTTCTGGTTATTTTATTATTTTTCTCTCCTCACCTTTCCTCCTAAAAAATTGGAAAGCATCTATATTGTGTAACATTTTACAGATTGTGCTGAAGATGTTTGAGTAGTAACTGACAAGAATTTATTTTGGAATATGATTTATTTGGAATATTATTTATTTTAGAATATTTAGAATATTTTAACCTTTATCGCTGGCATACCACATGGAGATTGGGTGGAAAGAGCAAGCTTTCCAGCAACAATTTCCATTTGCTTTGCTTACTATCTGCTTACCTTTTTTTAATCTCACTTTTTAAATTAAACTATACCTTTTCATTTCTTTCCTGAGTCTCATTTATGTTCTTGTTTCTGCCACGCTTGCAGTCACTTTCTTACTCTACCTCGCTCCAGATACAGTCAGACCCTTGAACGTCATCACAGGGATGGCAGGTATACTTTTTCTTACAATTGAGTCTGTTCATAGAATTGCATGTGCCTGTCTATTAATATGATATAATTCATTTCTACTTCTGTTTTATGTATACGTATGGTTATAATGAAATATGGGTACATCATCCTTATAAAATAATAGAAAATAGAGCAATATAAACTCTTTGATTGTAGTAACATGTCAAAAACGCTGCTTCCTTTTAATGAGTTAGGATCATATCTTTGATGATTCTAAAATTTTAGTTTTCCAAGAACTACAATTAATTCTTGATTTCCTAGAAGGATCGAATACAGTTTAATTACATTTGGCTGCTCACCTTCCTCAACAGAGTTCATAATTAGGTATTTAGACAGCACTGGTTGATTTGTACATATCTCAACAACCTGCTTCCAACAGTGGAGGAGTCAGTCCTGAAGTGCTGAGGATGAACTGATTGGTTTATGGTTACCTTGTCAAAGGTGGCTGTAATCTGCTCCTTGGTCATCTTGTAGATTATTTTAGATCTATGGAGAATACTGGGTCAGTGGGGAAATCTTTGTTCATTTCTCATCTACCACCATTCTCCTTACATTGGAGGGAAATATCAATTACATGGCATTTAACAGAAGGGAGGATTAAGTAGGAAAAGAAGGGAAAGAAGGCCTATATGTAGCTTTAGGGATTTGAGAACATTTTGAGGTCCTATAGGCAGAGAAGAGAATGACAATGATAATATGGTGGGTTCAGCTAGTTTAGATAAGGAATTAGATGCTGTGTTCTATCATTTCAAAGTGATTTGAGTTATGTGTGACCACTTTTATCCTATTAATTTAGTTAATCAAGAGTTAGGCCGAACCGGTTTGGGTCAGTGGATAGAGCATCGGCCTGCGGACTCAGGGGTCCTAGGTTCGATTCCGGTCAAGGGCATGTACCATGGTTGCGGGCACATCCCCACTGGGGGACGTGCAGGAGGCAGCTGATCGATCTCTCTCATCGATGTTTCTGGCTCTCTATCCCTCTCCCTTCTTCTCTGTAAAAAATCAATAAAATATATTTTTTAAAAAAAGAGTTAGTAAAATAGTTAATAATAATTTAGATAAAGAGTTAATAAAAATTATTGAAAAATAATGAGTAAATTTCTAAGGATTGAAATGATGTCGATAAATGTGGAAGGAAACATAAAAGATACCATTAATAATATATTCCTAATAGTTCAAGTTTTGTGATGTCTTTTAGTAAATGTAATTAAAATTGAATGCCTTTCAGTTTATTATATTATAGGGATTATTACTATATTTAATTTTCTTAGCATTTTCTCAGTCCCTTTTATTTTGCTTTAATACTAAATAATTCTTAATTTGTTGTTATATCTTTTATTTTAATATTGCTGTATGTAACATTTAGACTATTTTTTGGTTGCAATGGTTATACATTTATCTTAAAAATATATGGAAATGTGGTTACATAACTGTCCTCATAATTAACCAAGACCTTTCTTAAGGTAGGTGACATGAATGAGACATTACTGATTATAGGCTTATTCCACTTACTCTGGTATCTTCATTTCACTGTAAGTTAAAACCATGCACCATATTTTTTACATTCTATATTTTCCTAATTTTAATTATCAATACATAGATTGTCTGCCTCATATTACTTATTCGTTCAATAAATCAACATGGATAGAATCAGTTCTTGATCATTTCTTGGTTGGTTATTAATTTCACAATACTTAACAATTCTCAACCTAGCTGGCCTATTTTGAAGGATGCATTTCTGAATTGTTTTTTGTGTGCCATGATTTGGTTTGTGTCAGAAAACACAATATCATTAATATTTGCATTAAAGTAAAACACAGATAGGAAAATCAGTTTTAAAAAACAAGTTTTCAAATAGCTTACTGTAAGGTTTGCTGTCATTTAAATTATTCAAATCTGTGAGTCTATGCATAAGACAGATTGGGTAGATTTTGTAAGATTGAAGTTCTTTCGTTGCTTTTGAAAGTATTACCTTTTATCATTATCAGTCTGATACCTAGAAAAGAATGTGTGCACATTTCAAAACATAATGAAATGAACAACCACAAATCTACTACCCAAACTGAGAACCAGAGTATATGCTTATACACCTTGCATCTTCTGGCTCCTTGCCTGTTACATTTGTGTGCCTCTTCCACAGAAGTAAGAAAAGCGATACTGAATTTTTCATTTTACATTCCTTTACTTTGCTTTTTTTTTAAAAAAAAGGGACTTGGATCATTTGTTTTCACTCTGCTGACTTTCCGAGTTACTCAATTCCTCTGACCCCGTCTTAGTGCACTGAGATCCTGGGATTACTGAAGATATGAAAGCGTATCTAATCATCTCCCCGTTCTCCTACATATATTACCATAACAGTCTATGCTTCTTGTTTTAAACTTCTGTACCTTTATATGTAATGCAACTGAGCACAACCGCCCATTGCCCTTCCATGTTGGTATCATCTGTTGATCTCTTGGTTATGCTATTTTAATTACTGAATTTTTTAGCGCCTGGCTTTAGTCTCCTTCATCACTTTGATGTTAGAATTCATCTGAATGATCTTTTCAGCACCCACTTACTTCTTTGACTGTTTCAAATACGAGGGAGTGGACTTTACCTCCATTTCTACTTCAGTCTGTCACCACCATGACCATACTCTGAGTCTTATGGTCACTTCAAATTGTTCTGCCTTTGAAATCTTAATTCAGATACTCCACTCTTGGACCGGAACTCCACATGGTTCTTTTTCATTCTTTCGTTGAGTTACTTCTACCTCATCAGTTCTTTTATGTTAATAGAGGAACTCTTCCCTCTTGACCCTTAAGCTTTCCCTATTAGTCTCCACTTTCTTTACTTGCTTACATATACGGGTTCTTTGAGGAGTTTTAATTAGGGGATGGCTACAATATATTCACTGTGGAATAATACTCTAGAGACTCTGTGGATGGTTGATTTGGAAGTAAAAGTTATAGAAAAGAAAAGTATGTATTGGGATATTTGCCATGGTCTAGGACAGTGGTCGGCAAACCGGCTCGGCAAAATGCGGCTCGCGAGCCATATGCGGCTCTTTGGCCCCTTGAGTGTGGCTCTTCCACAAAATGCCACGTGCGGGCGCGCACGTACAGTGCGATTGAAATTTCGTGGTCCATGTGCAGAAGTTGGTATTTTGTGAAAGAGCCATACTCAAGGGGCCAAAGAGCCGCATGTGGCTTACGAGCCGCAGTTTGCCGATCACGGGTCTAGGACAACAGAAACTCTTTGAGGGCCTGAACTAGGTAAGATAGTCAATGGAGATACAGAGAGACAAGAGATTTAATCAATTAAAATTTATAATACTGGGTAAATAAAAGGATTTGGGTGTTGAGGGGGAGCAGAGAGTCAAGAAACACTCCCAGGTTCATAGCTTGGGTAACTGGGTGCATGTGCTACCTTAACAAAGGTGGAGTTGGAGGTTTTAAAAGAGGAATCAAAGGAGTGAAATAAATATCTTGAAAGCTTTAAAGAAGTTTAGGCTACATATAAAAATTTAGAATTAGAATCCCTCCTCCTCCTCCTCCTCCTCCTCCTCCTCTTCCCTGTCCCTCTCCCTCTCTCTTTCATTTTGTGTCTTGGAGAAGGAGAGAAACTTCAGTATGAGAGATAAGTATTGATCAGCTGCCTCCTGCATGCACCCCCACCAGGGATCAAGCCCATAACCTGGATATGTGTCCTGACTGGGAATCAAACCCATGACCTTTTAGTGTACAGGGTAATACTCCAACCAACTAAGCCATACCAACAGAGCTAATTCCTTCTTCTTTTTCTTCTGTTTCTCTAATGAAGTACTATTCTGATTCTCATTCTACCCCTTGACTGTTCTTATCTCCTTCTCTACTTCTCATGTCCTCAACTTTGTGACCATATGTTTTCCTATATCCTATCATTGCTATAGCTTTGACCAAAACTTCTAATACCTAGTAGAGTGCCTGGGTATTATAAATAGTATTGAAATAACTACTTAGTCAACAAATAGTGAAATATTAATACTGTACAATTACTTTGCAAATTACTTTCTCTCTAAAATTGACATTCGAGTTACTATCATTCCCTCTCAAGAATTCTTCTATTTCTGGTAATAGATCATTTTCTTTTGGAGGCTGGGAATTTCAGGTTTTTTCTTTGGCTTATTCATTTCTACATTTAATTCATAGGGTAATTTGTCAGCATTCATTGACAGTTAACTGTCACAAAACGGAAACCATCCCCACACGCCATGATATTTTGAATTTAATTTAAGAAAGCAATTTGCTTGCGTCTATAGACACTTATGGCATACAAAGGGTTAAGAGAAAAAAAACCACACATTTTTGCTACCAAAGAAGTTTACAGGCTTTAGAATTAAGAAAGCTCAATTCAAGTTCTAGCTCAGAAAACATCCAATTGTGTAACTTTGTCTAAGTTTCTGTGAGCCATAGTTGGCTTATTTTTACAATGAAATATTGGTTTACATGACTTCTGAGATTCTGTCTGACCCTGAAATTTTGTTTCTATAATTCTTTATAACGTGTATGTTCGAATACTGTATATTGTATATTTTGTACATTGTGATTTATAGTTATCATCCATTCCTTTCCCTCTTACTAAATGTCAGCCTTTTCCTACTATAACTCATTCTATATGCTATGGCTGAATTCTTCTTCATAATTAATTACTTAAAATTTACTTTTGTTCAGAAGCTTTTGGTCACTCTAATAGAAAATTAAATGGATTTAATTTTCATTTAATTAAATGAAATGTTTAAACTTATTAACTGGGCATTTTAGATCTCCATAAAATGACTCCAAGCTAATTTGCAAACTAACGTATTGCTGTATTCCTTTTTCTGCCGTTCCTAGCATTTCCATTTGACATTTTTTTCTTCCAATCAGATTTATATTGAAGACAAAAAATTCAACATACAAAGTGATCTAGGTCTGCTGTCTCAGAACATAACGTTTCTTACTAATATTTTGATAAGCTAC